ACTTCTCACAATTAAAACTAAAACAAATATTACGAAAAAATAAACGGAGCCCTTTGTCCAAGCATCATAACCGCCATCAAACTTCTCACGATTAAAAATAAAGCAAATATTTCAAAAAGAATAACTAAAGAAGCGAAAAAAAAAACGTATCGAGTGGCTCGTCCTGCAGATCGATCGCCCGTTTGCTCCTCCATTTCTGTCGTTTCTCTGTCCTTGAAAAGCAATTAAACGCAAGTGCGTTCCCGTGAAGGGGCCACGACGAGAACGGGAATACTGTTGGAGACGTGGTCGATAATTAAGAAGAGAGAGTCGACCCTGCAACAGGCTCGACTATCTCCTCAAAGCGTTATGCCAGCTTCACGCTGAATCTTAAAGTATTTTCGGTTTAGTTAATAATTACAGTTTCGTTCGTCCTGCCAAATATTTTCGTTAAAACGTACAGAAGCAGAAATTCAGCAGTTATGTCGACGGTACGACCAAGAGTAATCTAAGTTTTAGATAGTTAAGATTGTATTAGTTAATGTATTAGTTAAGAATATGTCGACAGCATCATGGATACAATTTCCTAATGCACTTGCGAAGTGGCATCGCTGTTGAGAAATGTAAACTCGATCGTCTAAGACCCAAGAGGATTATAACGACGAAGCTAAAACGAAACGACCCGTCTGCCGCCAATGACACCGTTCTTCGGATTTTATTGTATAATTTACGGAAGTGTTACGACCAACATAGTAAATCCAAGAGAGATTCGTGTGTTCTCGACGATCTTTTTGGTTCTCTCTTCATTCTATGTAGCGTGTTTCGTGGCTCGTTGCGCGGCTTATTAAATTAAAATTCCTGACTTTACACGGTGTAAAACAGTCATTACACGAGTTGCCTTCACTCTGCTACAAATATATTCAATTCATTATCGAGATGAGCCTTTGAATCTTAGTAATTAATAAAATCTTGCTTCTAGAATTCGTCTACGCCGCTTAATTTTACTAAGAAACGTGAAAAATGTCGTAGATTTCGAGTGGTCTTTTGGTCGATTGGATGACTAGAGATTGTAATATTCCATCGGACCAACCCTCTACGAAGAGAGTACTCTCGAACCAAATTGCTCGGCAAAGGCGAACGAGTCTGAAAGACAGAATGAAGGATAAAAGGTAAGTGGACACGGACTAAGAGGACATCTCGATCGATATCGAACTCAATTACGCGCAATGAACGGAGTGGCGTAAATAAATTCAATTCAACGACGAGCCGTTGTCTCTGTGGTCGGCCGTGGTCCAAGTGACCCACTTCCGTCGAGGAGGAAGAGGACGAAGACTCGGCTCAACCGCAGGGTAAACGAAAACGCGACAAAGAGGAACGTGCTCGTCGCGAAGGGAAAGGGAAGAATGTACAGAGTCAGAGATCGGAATCGTGCGTGACAGGTTCCGTAAAGGGGGACCTTTTAACTGCGTCTCGTCCAATAAACCTGCGGGTTTCGCCCGTGGAAATTCCTCTTTAGACCGTCGTAAACCTGCCATCGCCGTCCGTGTCAATTAGGGGCGCACACACGCCACGAAAATTCGGCACGAATCGGCGCAGCGAATCGAATTTATGCCTCGTGCCAGTTTCATTCTCGCCTGTGTTCCTCCTTGTCGTGCCTCCAACGATCAAGGCTGTGGCTCGTCGAAACGAGCAATATTCAAAGTTGCGGCTTTATCTAGCTCAACTCTAGTTTCCAAGTTTCCCAGTGAACGGATATTGATTCCATTAAATCCCATACTGTCGGTAAATTCTGCTACATGTACTTACATAGTTAACGTAGTTGATGCCGGATAGCGATGAAATGTTCACTTGAATCGGTAATATTCTACCGGATATGGAGATATAAAATGATTTTCGAGGATTATCTAAACAGCGTAATCTAAATTGCGATGTACGGCTTTAACATGGAGATGATTATTACACTTTAGATAGACGTTCGTGGATATTCGTATTTTTATATAAGCATATAACTAAAGAAGATATCACATATAAATTGTATTGGGATATATTTTTTATTTTGCATATTTAATTCGAAAACTATAAACAACACCACAAAAGTGACATGTTAAAATTCGTTTCCGTATAACAGTATGTGGAAACGTTTTCTGAAACTATATTTCTCAAGCATAAATTGCTAAAGCACTCCGTCAGTCTGCGACTCTAACCTAAAACTCTCAGCGTAGGTGGTCGTGAATCTCGTATCATCGCCGAAGGAGCCCACACGCGCAATTAGCAAACCCTTACACGAGATCCAAAGAGGGCCGTCCTAATTAAAATTTCACTTAGCACGCATCGTTACAAGGCAACAAGAACTTGCTACATTTTTCTCGATGGAATACCTCGGGGCCACCCCGTGGTAAGCAGACCCATCGAACTCGAACACGCGTGTCGTCGTCGATGCAACATCCAAGTGCATCCTTCTCCATTATTCTTTCTTCCGTTTTCTTTTTTATTTTCTACGCGGCTACTCTTATAACGAGGCGCAATTAACGAGACCAAGCCGAGCCAGCAATTTCGAGCATTCGTGTAACGTCGATGACCGAAATGGGAAGGAGGAGGACGGTTTCTAAGTCATCTCATCCGGTGGCGTGGCGAATTCCGGTTCGGCTAATCGGCTGCGTGCATCCCCGGGCCACCGCGCATTCCAAATGAGTCTGGTCCCCCGCAGAGGGTCCCCCATGTATTTTAAATGTATGCAAAGCCAAGATTGCCTCCGCGATTTATGCCGTAACGTTAAAGCCGGATTTCGCGTGATACAATTACCGCTGCGTTCATATCGAAGATCGCGAAGGATACTGCAACAAAGATACCGAACGAAAATTAAAATTGTAAGCAGATTGGTCTTAGACGTGCACTGTTACACCTCAGCTCGAAGATCTTGGGACAGCTATTATGTTTTATGAATTAGCCGATTTGCGAAGCAGTGCCACGTAAGTTTCCTTTTGATCCTCGAGGAAGACTTCTCTAATCCGATAAACATAGCTGAACTCGATAACGTCACAAAGAGAGATATCGACGAAGGGAAAAAGAACGTCGAACGGGTCACAGTGAAAAAAGAAAGCGATTGTTAAGCAACGAGGAGAAATTCCTTTTTCAACGTAGTCCTGTCGGACCTCCGCTGTCCGAGTGGAAACAATGGAATCAACAGCGGCCGCGATATACGCGACGCAAGTGTACCGTGAAAAGAAAATGCATCTCAACCGCGTGTCTCGATTTCCTCGAGCTTTGCAACGTATCTTGGTGTCTTCCCATTAGCCAAAGAAATGGTACCATATCGGTAACGTAATTGAGAAATTTATTTCTCTTCTATATGATATATTAGCCAACCTGTACGATAAGGTGTTCTACTTGTATTACACAATAAAAGTACTCATTACCCTAGAATATTTATTCACATTTCGTAGTGTAAGCTTACATAGGTCAGGCGGTTCGCGTCACATCAACAGAAACGAGGGAATTGTCACGTCGAACAGTCTAGAACTGTAAACTGAACGAGTTTGAGGGATATCGATGTCTAAGTCACGTCAGGTTTCTATTACGGTCAGATAATAATAGGAGATTACAAGTGAAACTTGCTGGAAAGGTTAGGAGTCGAGACAGTTGAAACGACAATGCGGAACAGAGAGCATAGCACGGAAAAGGGGTTAATTAATCGTGTCAATTACCCATTTACCACCTGAAGGAAAAAGAGTCTCGGTTTCATCAGGCGTTTACCTGACATTTCCACTCTGAATCGCCGGATTTTTATACGCGGCCAGGACTCGCGAGCCTCCTATAAACGTTTCCTTCTATCTTTCTATTTTTCTCTCTCTTCGGTATCTAGCTCATCGCAATATATCTTGGCTCACGCGTTCGCAATTAGTGGACGCATTTAATACAAAGCAGCGGCTTAATTAACGCGGCAATTTTCACCAGGTCGTCGAGTTATCAGCGTGCAGAAACGTCGCGGTATTTTTCCGTGATTAGATCGGACCCGGCATGTGGACGCTATGAGAAATCCATGAAATCTTCGCGTTGTTAATCATCGCGACGAAAAACCGAAACGATAACGAACCCAGCTGTTCGCTGACGAATAGTTCGTTATACAGGGTGTTCCAATCATCACGGTACAATCGGTAAATTGCTAATTATTCGTGAAAAAATAGATGGAAAATATAAAATAAAAGTTTTTTATACGGCGCGGCGCTTCGTATCTAGAAAATTCAATTCGAAAATTTGTTTGGTATATTCGCTTCTGTCCAGTGCAAAATTAACCAAGTTCGAATATATCCACTTGACAAATTTTCAAACTCGATCGTCTTAAAAATGTCATTTGTTCCTATATTTTCGATTTACTCTTTTACGTACAGTCACTCCCTTTCCGATTGTGTTATGATCACCAAGACACCGTGTATTAGAAGCTATTCGCGAAAATACAATTTTGCCTTGTTAACCTCGTGACAATAGTAATTATTTTCTAGTAAATACGATGAAACGATGGCTTTAAATATGCCCAGCGTGAAACGTGTTAATTCCTCCGGGCTAATTGGAAGAGTGGCTCTGTTTGTCGGCAATTATCTACACGTCGTCGACTGCGCACGGCGTTAATCCTCATGGGATATCGAAACTAAAAAGTTTCTCCTGTGCCAGATAATCAACGAGGAACCTTCTGTAACAATATGGTGAACGCGTATGCAGAATTGGCCATTATTTCCGCGTACGCACCAGTTACGAGCCGAGAAAGGAAATGCATTTCGCGTCGGAGAGCGTCCGGCTGCACTCGATACACACGATGCATTATCTCCCAACGAATGTCCTTAACGCCACATCTGTTTCTCCATTTATCGTGAAAGCGATTCTTTCTTCATTGTTTCTATGACTGTCAACGATTTACCTGTCTTACTTTTCTTCTCACCGTTCTCTCTACTGTTCTATCAGAAATCCAGATGCCCGATCGTCTTATTAGAGTCACTCGAAACTTGCAATATTTTTCATCTTTTTAGGATTGACAGGTGGAATTGTTTTTTTAGATTGAAAAGCAGCGACACAGTGTCTTATTTCTACGTAAGGTGTTTCTATTCTGCCAAAGATCTTTCACCAGGTACATCTAAGTATATATATCTAGCTGATAACGATCGCAATTCTGTAGGAGTGGTTTCAGAATGCAAATATAAACGATACGAAGTTGTTGAGAAAGGAAACTCGAGCGTTTGTGCTTTCATAATAATATTCATAAATAAGTGGCGATATTCCGGCCATGACGTTGCGATGTAATTAAGTTGCTCGAGTTGAACGAGCAATTTCGGGGAAAGTAAATATTCAAATGCTATTATCTCGAAGCTACAAGCGAACCGTAGATGCTCCTACAATTCCGTATTCACGGAATAAGCAAATAGAAGGTACTCGTCTACACTGTCGTTCAAAAATACAGTACAACTCCATTTATCTAAACTGTATTTGTTGGAACGAAATTTCAGTTAATTTTACCTGATTTAATAGAATCTTTGCCAATCGAAATTACTAATTTGAACATGAGCTTCTATCGTGCGAAAGAAAAATAGATAGTAAGCAGATATTGATGAACTCTATTATATATGGACTACCATTTAATTTTCAATACGTAAATACCATTTATTTAAACCCTTTTCTTCTTTCTTCTTGTAGGGAAAAACAATTGATGCAACGATATACAATTCGAAATAGAATGAAAGAAACGAATTAGTTAGTCAATTGGAGGAACAATTAAACGGGGACGTGGTTGCGCAGCAAATTTTTCTTGCCGGTTCGCAGAAGACGGTACTCGTTAGGCCAGCGAATTAGAGCGAAAACTTCAAAAACTGGTGAGAGTGGCGTCGAGAGGCGTAGACCGCGTTTCGGTTGTGTCTAAAGCCGTGGCGATATTTCAATTCGAAAACTTCCCGTAGAAATCAGCCGATGCGGGAATATTAATGATCCTTGGCTGCGGAGAGGCGAGGTTTCGTTTTCCTATCCTTTCCATCTTCTTCTCTTGGCTTGCTATCATCGTGCTCGCACGCTTCATGTTCCTTTTACCTCACTCGATTTCACAATAAGAACGACTACACCAGTAATGTTATGAATTACAACAGTTATGTCGAACGATCTTACTATAATAATAGTCTACCTAATGGGACTAGGTTTTAGGCTAATAATCATATTATATTAATAAACCTGGATATTCAGTGGAACTATATGCAACGCTTACTGTATACTTAAGATCAGCCATCCTGTGTATTAATTTTTGTTAAATATATATTTGCGATATCCTGCAATTCCTATATTTATGCTGTTTACTAATTTTTATGAAACGTACTTGAAATAAACATCTTGTAATTTCTATAATCTTCAAATTGCTTTCAAATTTGGTCCATACAATCTTGACAGCCGTGTGTCATTACAGTGCTAATGAAATTTCCAAATATTTTACATAACATATACAACAATGTGAAGATAATTTATTACGGCAAATGTTCAAATACTTTCGTGAGTCACTATAGATACCATCGAATTCCATTCTCATTTAACCAATCTTATACAATCTCACAGGCAAGGTAATATCCTAGGGACGTGAGTATCGAGACGATCCTTCTAACGATGGCTCGCAGCGATGTCCACAGAGGGAGGAGACACAGGACTAGACGTTCGGACGAGACAGGTAGCGCGAGAGGAGGCCGTCGGCCTCGACTGTTCTCCAAGAGGTCGACCCACTTCGCCCAAAGGCGAGAGGGACCGTACTGGTAGGCAGTTACGTACATATACGTATACCTTACATACGTAAATATATCTACGATCTTCTCTTTGCGTCGTATAACGGCCTCCCTGCCTCACCCTTTCTCCGCCTCTCTCTTCCTCCATTCTTTGTCCCTGTTCTCCCCGTTCGATATGTCCAAAAGGTATTTCGAACAACCGTGTACTTCGATAAACTAACCTTTCGTCCTCCCTTATCGTTACGTTCGGTCGAATCGTCGAAACAGGTCGCACGAATAACTCCAATCACGCATTGTTTTCCTAGTCGAAGAAATTAACCGCGACGGATTTTCCTTTCGATCGTTCAAGCTTGTGCCGCTATCGGCTGTTTACGTTTCGTTTCGTCTGTCCTCGATGCGACATCGGTGTCGATGCGATTGTTAAACCTCGGGTCGGCGTCGCTCGTAGTGTTGGTTCGCGCGCCGCGCCGTGTTGATCGCACGTGTCACTCGTGCCTGTAACGATTTTCATAATTTATTCCGATTCACCATATCTTGATAGACCATTTTAAACCATTGTCTAACTACGACAATCGCTCTCAACCTTGTTCCAGACATTTCGTAACCGCACATGCGAACATTGTTCTAACGGAGACAATAGAGTTTCGAGAATTTGATTTAGTAACGTTGGTTCGTTAAATCAGACACCAAGGCAAGATTGGACACATTTTTAGAAATTTGATTTATTAAAGTTATTTTTACGAAGAAGACACGAAGACAATGGAGTTCGAAATATTTGATTCGATAATAGCCTCTTATTAAAAGACACGAGCGAGATTGGAAATCAAAGCCGGTATTCCTGGCGGGAGACGGCACGTGGTTTCTGCAGGCACGCGGCTCCCTACTCTCTACCACGAGTTCCTCGTCCACGCTGGACGCAATCAGCCGATCCTCAAAGCCCGACCGGTAGTCGAACCGCGTGCACGTGGAGCCCGACGTGGCCTCTGCCTCCGTGGATCGCGATCAACCGACCGATCAACGGAGTCTGATATCGATCGAGCTCCCATTCAACCTGAGGATCTAGCCGTGAAACGTGACTGCGATCGTGGATGATCGACCGTTCGGAGTTACACGAAGGGAACGATCGATCGTGATCGATCCGATACTAATTGAACGTCGTTTAGGAACAGTAGTCGAAACGTGTCTCAATTTCTCTTTCTCTTTTTTTCTCTCTCTCTCTATCTCTCTCTCTCTTTCTTCTTCTCTTCTTCGAGATCGTAGACGGTGAATCGATTTCCGTGGAAAAGTCAACAGGTGAATCATCCAAAAGGCGTCCAGTCATCCAGTCAGACTGGATTCGACTGGATTTCACCTTTCGACCAGAAGAACAGACACACGGGGTGGTTCCTCGGAGTTCAGTGGCACATGTGATCGTGATCAAAGAAGATCCAGTGTCTGGGTTCTCGCGGGGACCAGAGGTTTTTGTCGAGGATCCTGGATCCAGAGGAATGGATGAAGAATGAAGAAAGGGTGAATGCTCCGCTTCGCAGAACGTGAGAGCTGCTTCAAATCGGTGAGTTCGGCTTTTTTTTTTTATTTTTTTAGACGACCATTCCGTAACATTGTCTTCTTTGTGATCTTAACTGGATTTTACCACGAGTAAGATTATTGCTTGTATTTGATTTTGAAGTTAGACATGTGTATATTATCCCTTTGAAAGTTCTTGTAATATTTATAGAGATGTTAAAAATACTGGGTGTCTTAGTAATCGTATCTTTGTTTCCACAAAACTCCGTTAACTTACCAAGTATTCTTGAAAGAGTAACATCTTTAGGCTTAACAGGTTATTTTCATTTTTGCAAATGAAAATTCTTCTGTTCGATTACAAAGCGACGTTAAAATTGACAAATATTTATTTACACACTGTTTTCCTCCTTTGATCTTCATACACGGTAAACTTCATTTTTTAAAGTTTTGAAATTACATATCTTGTACAAGTTACACGTAAATGATATTACTTAGAGAATGACCAAATATTTTGTAATTCTCTGCGTCATGTTCCGACACTCGACATAACGTTTCAGCTTGTTCTCAGAATTTTCTTTTCTATGTTGATATTTAATATACACGAAAGTTTTTCACAAGAAACTTGCGGTGACTAACAGACACGGAACGCGATTGTAATCCAGGTTGGAGATTCTTCGTTTTTACGAAGCTCGTTGGAACATCTGTCGATCACTGTTTCTTATGTAGATACTTTCTTGCGTGGGCAAAAACATTCCGCGAGGAACGCATAATAACACGGAGACATCGCGGAATGTCGCGAACTAGGTTACCGATCTTTTACTAGGAAAATTTTCCTCGAACCGACAGCTGCTAGCTTTCGTGCTCATTGACTTCGTGAATCTGAAAAAAATTCTGGTTGGCGAGTTTATCGAATTCCCGCCGGAATAATACTGTTTCTTCCATACAGCATCTCTCTGTACATTTCAATCCTCTTCGACTGCGGATAGAAATCGTGAGAAAAAATAATAAACGCGAACCACGAAGCTCGTAAATTTTTTTTTCACGAAATACATTAACGATCGCGCAATTAGAACGTTTATTAGCAGCATTCTTAGAGGATACTTCTAAAAGCAGACGTACGACCTACTTGGCTGCCGAATCCGACCACTCTTGTTGAGAAACGAAGAAATATCGTGCGTCAGGTTCGTGAATTCCCAGCAATTTTCTGCGACGTGTTTAACACGAACCCAAGTAGGGTGGCTGTTATAACACGAATTACCACTTTATCGTTGGTATTCCTCTCAGGCAGGTTAAAACGAAAGTGACTTAATTCCTGTGAATCAGTCACGCCTTCCGAATAACAAAAATGAAGGTCTGACGAGCCTCGTGAAGCCCTCGCTAATGGAAATCGGACAGATCGTGCATAATTAGCTTGCTTGTTCTTCGAACACAGATGTTTTCATTGAGTTAGTAACTCTGATAGAGTCTTCGACTTTGATTTCTATATTAAGGATTCGAATTAGGATTCTAGTTGGAAATCTTTTTCTTTTTTTTTTTGAAATTTTTGATTTATTTAAAATGTGTTACTTGGACTTGTTAAGTTTGATGTTAGCTTCAGTGCTTTTTTGGTTTTCCGGATTAACTTCTTTTCGAGTGATCTTAGGTCTAGTGACCCTAAATTATGCAACTATTCGAGTAGTATCTCCGAACAAATCTATCTGTTCTCTGGATCTTATTATATGTTCAGACGACGCAGCAATGCAATGAAAATTGCAATTATTTAATTTCTGACGTGTTATCATAATTTAACTTCCTTTGACCGTCTTCTTTTTTATATATTTATATCTTTTTTTTGTTTTCTTTGTTGTACAGCCATTATTCATTGTTGTAGCTCCTCTTCTTCTTTATACCATCGAGCTAGAGCCCGTGATTTAGTAGATAAGTAAATAAATAAATGGATATTCTAGTGTTTAGATAATTGTGATCTATCGAATATAAATCGACTACCATAATGTGATTAACGTCAGTTTTGTTTTTCAAACCACTTATCCATCTCCATAAATATTCTAAAAACCACTCCGTCAATATACAGCATAAATCAAGATGGAAAACAAAAATAGAGTCCGTGATTCATTCAGATCGATCGGTTTTATTATATAAATCGTCAGCTGGCTACGTGGTAGTATTCTCGTTGTACATTGTTGGACAAACCGGTTCGCGAACAGATCGGAAACGCAAATAAATATATCACGATAAAATCGAGCCGCGTAATCGACGCGGACTACTCGCTCGCGAACGAATGTATCACCGGAAGTAATCAGGAGTCTATAAAGCGACGTCCTCGGAAGACATACGGTACCAATAAATTACTTCGATGGTGATTCGTGTGACAATAAAATTTCATATGACTCTGAATGACGTAGACATGGTTCATCGTTATATGTACCTTGATCCATAGATGAAATTCAGTAGCTCTTTAAGCGGGTTAAAAAAGATAATTCAATGTTACAAAAAATAATGATTTATTAATTCGTAGACTTCTTACGGCTATTTTCTATGAAACATTTTTTATCGGTACTTTTTCAATGTTCATGATCGTAGCATATATTTATCCTCAAAATCAAATGAAAAGATAGCTTTAATGTGAAATTGATTGATGATACATATATTAAATCTTAAAATTGATTTTCTATAAAAGATGTGAAATGTGACATCTATGAATATTCATTAGATATATCATTCGAGTTTCATTTATGAATCACGAATGACGCCGATGAACATAATTTTCTGTTCCTTGGATTCACCGTACAAATATTTTTTATTATATTAGTTGTTAAATTTTAATGCTGTTGCAACGTTCATCGTTCTAAATGGCGAAGGAACGAGGATGGAGAAGGTCGGAACGGAAAAACGCCGTGGTACAGGGCAATAAATCGCGCGAGATCGTGTAACCCGCCGCCTTCTAACGCGTACAATGAATATCTATTGTGCCTTTTACTTTCTCCCAGCCGGCGTCGGAACATCGTGCTCTCGTGTCTCGTGGAACAGAAACCATGTGTACATGTATGGACACCTGTTTCTATCGTTTCATTCGATTCAATTCGAAAGAGTTGACGACGTGACACCGCGTCGTTAGAAAATCGAACAAACGATTGTCAAGGGAAAACATAGTCGGTATATTTAAGTTTAAAGTCGAGTTAGAAATCGTTTGGCTGTAAAGATGCATTCGACTCGATTCGACACGAAAGCATGCGTATCGAAATTGGCCAACGTCGTTAGAAAGCAATTCGTTGAAAGAGCTGTCGAAGAGAGAAGCGAAATTGAGAGAACTCGCGAATATTGTCCTTACGATGACGGGATCGTAGGATTATTTTCGTAAAACTTATTAGAATCTCCTCTTTCTTGCAAGCTAGTCTGATCATGCGTAGTTTACCCTATCATTATTGATATATGTATCATAGCGTATCTAATTCGTTGACGTAAAATCTTTGACGTGTCTTGAACCAACCTAGACGAGAGAAGAACTCGTCTAGACTAGTTTTTTTAAGTCGTTTCAAATAGCCGAGACTATATAATAAGGTATCTCCATCGCGAAACAAAGAAACACGCGTCAAAAACAAGCAATCCATTATCTGGAAACGAGTCGTTGCCCTACTCTATTCTCGTAATTCGTGATTCAACTGGATCTTTCTTGAATAAATAACACTTCCATTTCAGACATCTTCTCCGTCTTCTGCCTAGCTGTATTTCTCGAATTTTCATATCTCAATCTCACTTTTATTTCAAAGGACTGAGACGACTTTGAATATTTTAAATTTTACGCGTAAGATTCGAACGAAAAATCAATTAGGTTTTTTCTCAAACGTAAAGAATTGTCTGGCAATGGAAGAATAGATCGAGATATCTGACGAAAGAACGCTTCGTTGGAAACCAAGAATATGTGCAAATACTTTTTCTAGCCACTGTAAGAATCGAATTAATAAGAAATAGCCACGATGTGTCAGACCGTTTTGGCAGCACGCATTACGTGTGCCAATGAGTTGATAAAATATACTTTAACGAATATTCAAGTGGAATCCAAAAATATCTCACCGAGAAAGTGTCGGTGTTACCGTGATTAACTGTAAAAGCCATCATCTGGCTGACCAGATGGCTCGAAGACGGTAGGACGATGCGTTTGAACAGTAGCGTAGAGCTAATCAGTGAAAGTGCCACACGACCAAGTGGCCGCGCTCCTTCTGAAAATCGAATCGACCCACTTCGAGCTGCACTTACGATTCTCCTTCTTGCGTCTCGTTCGATGGAACGAACTTCGGTCATTGTCGTAATCGCTATAGACGTTTAATCAGTAGCTGGAACAGAGTCGAATGACGATTTTACGCGCGTGCGATGTTTATTTTCGTCCGTTTCTTACCTGGTCTGTGTTTCTTTAAGTGGGTTAGACAGTCTTTCATCTCGTTCCAGTCGCCTACTTGTCGTTTCATTGCTTACGATGACTTTGCTCCTCGAAAGCACGGAGTGCAATCGTTGCATCCCGAATGAGAACGATTCTATCTATGGAGATTTATATCGATTCGTCACGAGTTTCTTCGCTAACAGAGATACCCTATTTTCTAATTGTCTAACGACTATGTCCCACGGGTTATCTGGTCGACCGAGTTTTCACAGCGAGCTTCCACTTTCACTTCGAATAAAATTCAGTAGAATCACCGTTAAACGAATTAGGTACGAGAACGAGGATACGGTTTTTGTAGCCACAGGTTAAAGGACAAGCAGGTATATCTGGAGAACGCGTGCCAGTCTAGAACTGTAAAGTCATGTGGCGTTATGAGGTTTCCAAGCTATGTAGATATCGATCGATCCCCTTCGCTACGTTTCACCGAGAAATCCTTTTGTTCCACTCAAGGCAGATGGAGAACAGAACTTCGAAAGCATAGCGACGACGAAGTGAAAATGAAACGGTTATCCGCGTTTCTCTCGTTACCGGTGTTACATTTCGTGAAACGTATTGTTGGAAGTTTAGTTAATTTAGTAGCGTCGTACACTTATAAATGGCTTGTACATATG